GGAATTCTAATTTTTGAACCTACGTTTTCATTCTGTCCCGTTTTCAAATAAATGATTTTCAAATAAAATGAACTAAACCATTCCTTAATTTCAAAATTGTTGGTTTTTTTAAATTTTATGATTTTTTGAAGAGAAATTCAGAAATTTGAAAATTGGAATGCGAGTTTTTAATTTTTGAACACTGCGTTTTCATTCTGTCCCGTTTCCAAATAATTGATTTTTAAATAAATAGAACTAAACCATTCCTTAATTTCAAAATTGTTGGTTTTTTTTTTAATTTTATGATTTTTAAAAGAGAAATTCAGAAATTTGAAAATTGGAATGCGAGTTTTTAATTTTTGAACACTACGTTTTCATTCTGTCCCGTTTTCAAATAAATGATTTTCAAATAAAATGAACTAAACCATTCCTTAATTTCAAAATTGTTGGTTTTTTTAAATTTTATGATTTTTAGAAGAGAAATTCAGAAATTTGAAAATTGGAATGCGATTTTTTAATTTTGAACACTGCGTTTTTATTCTGTCCCGTTTTCAAATAAATGATTCTTAAATAAAATGAACTAAACCATTCCTTAATTTCGAAATTATTGGTTTTTTTTTAATTTTATGATTTTTAGAAGAGAAATTCAGAAATTTGAAAATTGGAATGCGATTTTTTAATTTTTGAACACTGCGTTTTCATTCTGTCCCGTTTTCAAATAAATGATTTTCAAATAAAATGAACTAAACCATTCCTTAATTTCGAAATTGTTGGTTTTTTTTTAATTTTATGATTTTTAGAAGAGAAATTCAGAAATTTGAAAATTGGAATGCGATTTTTTAATTTTTGAACACTGCGTTTTCATTCTGTCCCGTTTTCAAATGAATGATTTTCAAATAAAATGAACTAAACCATTCCTTAATTTCGAAATTGTTGGTTTTTTTTTAATTTTATGATTTTTAGAAGAGAAATTCAGAAATTTGAAAATTGGAATGCGATTTTTTAATTTTTGAACACTGCGTTTTCATTCTGTTTTGTTTCCAAATATGTTATTTTTGATTAAAATGAACTAAACCATTCCTTAATTTCGAAATTATTGGTTTTTTTTTTAATTTTATGATTTTTAGAAGAGAAATTCAGAAATTTGAAAATCGGAATGCGATTTTTTAATTTTTGCACACTGCGTTTTCATTCTGTTTTGTTTCCAAATATGTTATTTTTGATTAAAATGAACTAAACCATTCCTTAATTTCAAAATTGTTGGTTTTTTTTTAATTTTATGATTTTTAGAAGAGAAATTCAGAAATTTGAAAATTGGAATGCGATTTTTTAATTTTGAACACTGCATTTTCATTCTGTTCCGTTTCCAAATAATTTATTTTTAAATAAAATGAACTAAACCATTCCTTAATTTCGAAATTATTGGTTTTTTTTTTAATTTTATGATTTTTAGAAGAGAAATTCAGAAATTGGAAAATTGGAATGCGATTTTTAATTTTTGCACACTGCGTTTTCATTCTGTTCCGTTTCCAAATAATTTATTTTTAAATAAAATGAACTAAACCATTCCTTAATTTCGAAATTGTTGGTTTTTTTAAAATTTTATGATTTTTAGAAAAGAAATTCAGAAATTTGCAAATTGGAATGCGATTTTTTAATTTTTGCACACTGCGTTTTCATTCTGTTTTGTTTCCAAATATGTTATTTTTGATTAAAATGAACTAAACCATTCCTTAATTTCAAAATTGTTGGTTTTTTTTTAATTTTATGATTTTTAGAAGAGAAATTCAGAAATTTGAAAATTGGAATGCGAGTTTTTAATTTTTGAACACTGCGTTTTCATTCTGTCCCGTTTCCAAATAATTGATTTTTAAATAAATAGAACTAAACCATTCCTTAATTTCAAAATTGTTGGTTTTTTTTTAATTTTATGATTTTTAGAAGAGAAATTCAGAAATTTGAAAATTGGAATGCGAGTTTTTAATTTTTGAACACTGCGTTTTCATTCTGTCCCGTTTCCAAATAATTGATTTTTAAATAAATAGAACTAAACCATTCCTTAATTTCAAAATTGTTGGTTTTTTCTTTAATTTTATGATTTTTAGAAGAGAAATTCAGAAATTTGAAAATTAGTATGCGATTTTTTAATTTTTGAACACTGCGTTTTCATTCTGTCCCGTTTCCAAATAATTGATTTTTAAATAACTAGAACTAAACCATTCCTTAATTTCAAAATTGTTGGTTTTTTTTTAATTTTATGATTTTTAGAAGAGAAATTCAGAAATTTGAAAATTGGAATGCGAGTTTTTAATTTTTGAACACTGCGTTTTCATTCTGTCCCGTTTCCAAATAATTGATTTTTAAATAACTAGAACTAAACCATTCCTTAATTTCAAAATTGTTGGTTTTTTTTTAATTTTATGATTTTTAGAAGAGAAATTCAGAAATTTGAAAATTAGTATGCGATTTTTTAATTTTTGAACACTGCGTTTTCATTCTGTCCCGTTTCCAAATAATTGATTTTTAAATAACTAGAACTAAACCATTCCTTTATTTCAAATATGTTGGTTTTTTTTTAATTTTATGATTTTTAGAAGAGAAATTCAGAAATTTGAAAATTAGTATGCGATTTTTTAATTTTTGAACACTGCGTTTTCATTCTGTCCCGTTTCCAAATAATTGATTTTCAAATAAAATGAACTAAACCATTCCTTAATTTCAAAATTGTTGGTTTTTTTTTAATTTTATGATTTTTAGAAGAGAAATTCAGAAATTTGAAAATTGGAATGCGATTTTTTAATTTTTGAACACTGCGTTTTCATTCTGTCCCGTTTCCAAATAATTGATTTTTAAATAACTAGAACTAAACCATTCCTTAATTTCAAATATGTTGGTTTTTTTTTAATTTTATGATTTTTAGAAGAGAAATTCAGAAATTTGAAAATTAGTATGCGATTTTTTAATTTTTGAACACTGCGTTTTCATTCTGGCCCGTTTCCAAATAATTGATTTTTAAATAACTAGAACTAAACCATTCCTTAATTTCAAAATTGTTGGTTTTTTTTAATTTTATGATTTTTAGAAGAGAAATTCAGAAATTGGAAAATTGGAATGCGATTTTTTAATTTTTGAACACTGCGTTTTCATTCTGTCCCGTTTCCAAATAATTGATTTTCAAATAAAATGAACTAAACCATTCCTTAATTTCAAAATTGTTGGTTTTTTTTAATTTTATGATTTTTAGAAGAGAAATTCAGAAATTTGAAAATTAGTATGCGATTTTTTAATTTTTGAACACTGCGTTTTCATTCTGTCCCGTTTCCAAATAATTGATTTTTAAATAACTAGAACTAAACCATTCCTTAATTTCAAAATTGTTGGTTTTTTTTTAATTTTATGAATTTTAGAAGAGAAATTCAGAAATTTGAAAATTGGAATGCGATTTTTTAATTTTTGAACCCTGCGTTTTCATTCTCTCCCGTTTTAAAATAAATGATTTTTGAATAAAATGAACTAAACCATTCCTTAATTTAAAATTGTTGGTTTTTTTTTAATTTTATGATTTTTGGTAGAGAAATTCAGAAATTTGAAAATTGGAATGCGATTTTTTAATTTTTGAACGCTGCGTTTACATTTTGTCCCGTTTTCAAATAAATGATTTTTAAATAAAATGAACTAAACCATTACTTAATTTAAAATTGTTGGTTTTTTTTAAATTTTATGAATTTTAGAAGAGAAATTCAGAAATTTGAAAATTGGAATGCGATTTTTTAATTTTTGAACACTGCGTTTTCATTCTCTCCCGTTTTAAAATAAATGATTTTTGAATAAAATGAACTAAACCATTCCTTAATTTCAAAATTGTTGGTTTTTTTTTAATTTTATGATTTTTGGTAGAGAAATTCAGAAATTTGAAAATTGGAATGCGATTTTTTAATTTTTGAACGCTGCGTTTACATTTTGTCCCGTTTTCAAATAAATGATTTTTAAATAAAATGAACTAAACCATTACTTAATTTAAAATTGTTGGTTTTTTTTAAATTTTATGAATTTTAGAAGAGAAATTCAGAAATTTGAAAATTGGAATGCGATTTTTTAATTTTTGAACACTGCGTTTTCATTCTCTCCCGTTTTAAAATAAATGATTTTTGAATAAAATGAACTAAACCATTCCTTAATTTCAAAATTGTTGGTTTTTTTTAATTTTATGATTTTTGGTAGAGAAATTCAGAAATTTGAAAATTGGAATGCGATTTTTTAATTTTTGAACACTTCGAGTGGGGCATGAAAAAAAGCGGGCCAAGTCAAAAAGGGGGGGGGGGGGCGGAGGCAAGTGTAAAAATTATGCCTAAGTTGATATTTACCGTCTTTTTCAAGTTTTATGACTGTTTTCATTTAAAGTTCGAACTTGAAACATTTTTCATAATTTTTTGAAAACTTCAGTTTATTTCATTTTTTTTCACATTTTTTGTTTATTTTTTCGTTACTACGCCTAAATTGAGATAAAATTAGCCAATTAATTCAAACTTACAGAATATTCTCAAAATAGAATTATTTTTTATAATGTTTTTTGTCGGAGTTTTAAATTAGGAGAGTTTTAATATGACTTTGTAGAATTCTCATCCGGTTTCATTCGAAAATTTCAGCAAGTTTCCAAAAGGAACTTTTGAAAACGTTGTTGTTAGGCATTTTTCCTGTATGGCCCCCTTTTGTTTTGCTGTTAAAGGGGAAACTGAGAAACATGACCGTATCATGTGGGGCACAGCCACACACTCATACGCATCATGACTCAACAGATGGCGAAGCATATAGAGTGGGAAAAATATACGAGACCCAGAGACACAGGCCATTGAAAAAAACGGTCGAGTCGACTCTATGCGTTCGACGCGCCTAGCTTCATTCTTTCCTGAGACGACTTGACAGAATAGACGTCTATTTTGGGGGTTCTCCAGAAAACCCCGTGAATGAATGGATTTTGGAGAACTCCTTTTTGATTTTTCTGAATATTCTCTGATATTTTAGAATCAGTTCGGTTTTTTTGATAACGGTGAGATTTTTTTTCGAAAAGTTAATTTGAAATTGAAGAAGAAATGATGAAATTCCGAATTTTTCCGAAACTGGTGAAACTTCGATTTTTAAAAAGTTCTGAAATTGTGAAATTCTAAATTACTAAAATTCTAGAATTCTAAAATTCTGAAATTCTAAAATTCTGAAATTCTGAAATTCTGAAATTCCGAATATCTAAAAATTTTGAAATTATACAATTCTGAAATTTTTTGAAATGATTCAAAAATTTTAAAACTTTGAAATTTTGAACAAATATTTTATTAGTGAATCATTTTTCGATATCTTGAACGGAAATCTCAAATTCTCTCAAAAAATTTGAAACGAAGTTTCGGAAATTGGAAAAATCGAAAACAGAAATCAAATTTTAATTTTTTTTACGTTTTGGTGTCAAGGTGAGAAATGCAAAATTTCAGAAATTCAAAATGAGAAATTCGGAAATTCAGAATTTCAGAATTTCAAAAATTCGAAAAACTCAGAAACTCAGTTTTTCAAAATTGTGTGTCTGATTAGTGTCTACGCATAAATTTCTATGTTTTTCAAAAACTTTTTTTTGAATTTTGTAGAAAGTCTTCCAAATATAAATTGTTTTCATTGCATTTTTAATCTCGGGATGTAATGTCAATTTAGACAGTATTTTCCAAATTTCTGCTTTTTTAGAATCTCTTGTTCATCATTCCGCTCACTAAGTACGACAAACAATAGCAGCAAAGAAAGGTTGGAGCTGTGAAGAAAGCCAGTGGTATTCAAGACACTTTGACCATAAATGAGGCTTTGGAGGATAATGGAAATGCTGCGAAGAAGGTGTGCGAGAACTTTGGATGTGTTGTGAGAGTAAGCATTCATAGTATTATTCAACTTTCAAACTGTAATGTCGTATTACAGGAACACAAAAGCGCTTGTCCCAACTATGAGCTCCGCAGCCAAGCATCAATAGAGGCGCATGAAGAGAAGATGCAGGCGATCCAGGTAGCACTTCAATTTGAATATCAAACAAATACAATTCATTTTTAGAAAAAGCTGACAGGATTCTTCGACAAGGCAACAACTGCTGAGCTTGGGAAGGATCTTCTAAAAGAAGCTCAGGCATTCAACCAGAAGAGAAACCAGCACAATAAATTCGACTTGTAAAAAAAGTGAAAGAAGTGAGCGCCTTTTTTGTGTTATCTAAAAATTTTACCTTTTTTCAGATGTATCCCTAGTGACTGGAGCAGGGAACAACTCTTCCAGTGACATCTCCAACACAGAGAATGCCATTATGCGGGATATCCGATTCAACATGACACAGTGTCGTGTGGCCGAGGAGCCTTTTTATGAAGTATGATCATTGTCGAATTTTGGAGCTTTTATTTTAAGTATCATTTTTCTTACTAGTAAACTATTTGATAGCAAGCCTCCTCTCCCAACCTTGTTACTATTCACATGTTTTTATCTCTACTCTATCTCTACTGTCATACAAAATTTCTACATACATATCGTATCTCTTTCCGTCATATATTAAAAAATATTTTATTTGCTTCCTATTGAAGACTGTCTATCGAGGGGTCTCCTTCTGGATGAATCATGGAGTGACCAAAACTACGGTGTGGTACGACAAAAAGATTATAGTATATAAAAAGGGGTGGCAGATGTGAGACAAGTTAAAAATAGAGAGAAAGTAGATGCAAAAAAGCAGGATTTAAAAGAAAAACATATGCTGAATCTCCAATACGCCGACCTTTAAAGAATACATTTTGTTATTTTTTCCTAAAAGAACTCTTTAAAAAAACTTTCGAACTGAGGGAAATTCATGCGTCCGAGATTCTTCAAGTTGAAAGTCCCTACAATAAAAGTCTTCTAAAAATGTTGTATATTCATTTTGAAAACTTTGTTATATAATAAAAAAACTGAAGCATTCATTTTGTAGTTGACAACTTTTTCGGAAAACTCAAGCGTGAGGATGATATGCCACGTGGAACTGACAACAGCGAGTCTCCCCAAATTGCCCATAATACCAAATGGCCAACTACGCTTAATTTAACCCAATTTTTTTTGGTTCCAGGGACATATATCAATAATTTGTCAACTGATAAACTGTTTATCATAATATCCGCAACACTTTACTAGTTGAACACTTTTTGATATATCTCACAGAAAATGAGATATATGAGCTCAAAGTTCAAAGAAAGCAGGGGCGGGTGGTTAGAGTGCAAACAGTATTTCGTTTCGTAAAATATAGTTTTGAAAACATGTCCGACCAAAGAAGCACACGTGGAGGCCAGAGAGAAAATGGCTGCCGCCAAGAAGAAAGGAGCACGAGACTTGTTCTTCGAGTTTCAGAAAATGGAGAAACTGGTGTGTACATTATTATTCGGTTTTTTCAAAAAATCGCTTGAAAATTGGGCTCTTTATGACAAGGGGGCCCATTGGAAAAGGTTGGCCCAAGCGAAGAGGTGGGTGGGCATGAAAAAAAGCGGGCCAAGTCAAAAGGGGGGGGGGGGCAAGTGGAAAAATTATGCCTAAGTTGATATTTACCGAATTTTTCAAGTTTTATGACTGTTTCCATTAAAAGTTCGAACTTGAAAAATTTTTCATAATTTTTTGAAAATTTCAGTTTACTTCTTGACTGATTTATAACAGTTCCGCAACCAATATGATCAAATAGGGGGATTTCGACTAACATTTTGAGTAGATAAGGCTTTTCAGCAGTGCTTCAAGAAGAATGTATAGAGGAAAGGGGGAAAAGTGGAAGGGAAAGAGGAGACCAAAAAACAGCATATTTTCAGATGGAATTTTCTCGACTTCTAGAAATTTGTGCAGAAAACCGAATACATCACGAGAAAGCCCGTATTTGAAACTATAAATGAGCAAATTTAGAAAAAATTCTGAGATGAAGGCTAAACATGGTTCCCTTGTAAGCGAAAAATTGTGGACTCAGTTAAGATTCACCAAAAATTCGTACTTTTCTCTTGTTTCCACAAAAAGTCATCACTTTGAAAAAATGTCAGTTTAGGCTGGTTTCTTGCATGAATGACACCATACTGTAAAATTCCGAGCCGGCCCGCCAAGGCCCGGTGTCAAAAATTCTGTATTTTTGAGCCAAATTTTGAGCTCTCAATATAATAAAAAATTAAATTAGGCGTAGTTGGCCATTTGGTATTGTGGGCCCTTTGAGGAGACTCGCTGTTGTCAGTTCCACGTGGCCTCACGCAACTACAAAATGAATGCTTCAGTTTTTTTATTATATAACAAAGTTTTCAAAATGAATATACAACATTTTTAGAAGACTTTTATTGTAGGGACTTTCAGTTTGAAGAATCTCGGACGTATGAATTTCCCTCAGTTCGAAAGTTTTTTAAAAAGTTCTTTTAGGAAAAAAAAACAAAATGTATTCTTCAAAGGTCGGCGTATTGGAGATTCAGCATATGTTTTTTTTTAAATCCTGCTTTTTTACATCGACTTTCTCTCTATTTTTAACTTGTCTCACATCTGCCACCCCTTTTTATATACTATAATCTTTTTGTCGTACCACACCGTAGTTTTGGTCACTCCATGATTCATCCAGAAGGAGACCCCTCGATAGACAGTCTTCAATAGGAAGCAAATAAAAGATTTTTTAATATATGACGGAAAGAGATAGGATTTAGAGAAACTTAGTTTTAGGAATCTGGAATCTTGGACCGAGGACTTCTAAATTTGATGGAAAGCTTATGAATGGACCGGCTGGATTCGATGTAAGAAGTTTTTGAAAATAATAATATTTAAGTCACTTTATCTCGACTCCTTCTAAAGATCTTAAAAATGTGTCAACTGATAAATCATTTATCATAATATCACCAATATTTTGCCAGTTGTCACACTTTTGATATATTGCATATTAACCGAGATAATTGAGGTCAAACTTTACAGTGTGGGGGCTCTTCTATTACAGTGGGGCGTACAGTTACCATAACTGTTAAAAACTAGTACATCTTTACTGTGGCGTAGCTGATCGTTGCGTTGATAGTGAGCGTGAGCGTCTTGTCGAGGTGGATCGTCTTGAAGATTGGTCGTCGGATGATGTATCTACTCTGGAACGTCGTTCGTCATCGTCTCTCCGATCGTCGATCGAGGCTCCCGCCCCAGTTAGAAAGGCTTCTCTCATTTGATTCATCTCTCTTGCCATCATCCTGCTCCGAAGAATGTCCACGAACTCCAGATGGTTGGAGACTCTTCCTTGCAGAATTTCTCTTTCGATTGAGATCATTTCTGCAATCGTTGCTTCCGCGTATCTCCTCGTCTCCCTGATGGTATCCTCGAGCAGGTGTTCCTGAACGTCGTTTTTTGCCATTTCTCGGAGGAAGTATTTGTCGTCGATAATTCCGTTATTCGTCAATCTTCTGATTAACTTGTTGTCCGCCTTGAATTGTTCCTCAAGGTTGTTGATGACCATGATGGCTGAAAACATCTTCGTCTTAGATGTGTTCGCCGTTTTGGCTCGACAATCCAAAGATTTTGTCATGTTGGCCCTGTCTTCGATGACGTAATTTGACCATGTTCTGACGTTCCGCTCGGCTTCGTTCATCACTCGCATAATGTTGCGTCGAAGATTGACCGAGTTGTTGATGTCTGGGTTGTATGTCATTGTTGCACGTTGCTGTTGCTTTTGGATTTTTGCGTAGCAAAAAACATCTATTACATTCTGATCCCTGCTCTTTCTTTTCTGTTGTCGTTTTGAACTAGTCTGCTGAATTGGCTCTTTCGTTTGTTCATCGTCCATTTCGTCCGCGACATCCTGAAAATACTTATGGAATAATGTTTCCTTTCCTTGAAAATAAAATACCGAATCGTCAGTCCGGTTCCAGTTGTGAAGATGACAAAGATGAAAGAACATTATTTTAGAATTGATGCTCTTGATATCCGATTGAGATGCGTTTGTGGCTTTTCGGATATTTCGAGGTTTCCTCTTAATTGGGCCATCTTTCAAATCATCATCATTCTCATTATGAATAGCACATGTTGCAGATTTTCTTTCAGTTCTTGCCTCCTTCTGTCACTGATGTCTGTAAATTAGAAATATTGCAGTTTTAAAACACATCGGAAAATAAAAACTCACAGAGCAATCAACTTGAGAAGACAGTGTTTGTTTCTTGGTATTGACTATCTAAAAATGAAAATAATTTTGAAAAACATAATTTCTGCGGCATGCGCCTTTAAATCTTTTCTGTTGGTATTTTCAAGCAAGTTAAACTATTTTAAAAAATTCAAATTGCTTCTAGTCTTACTTTGAACATCCGAATAAGTTAGAAATTTCATTAAAATTGTATTAGAAGTTGGTGGTAAACCGAAATCAGAACTTTCAGTTTTAAAATCATGTTTGCAAATCAATTATCTGAAAATCTTACCTTTATCAAGAAAATTTAGAAAATTGCGTAATAGGAAAAATTCAAGAGTTATGGGAAATATGATTATATGGGAATAGAGAATATTTAAGAAAATCAATTAGGAGTTCTCCAAAACCCATTCATTCAAAAGACTTTTGGAGAACTCTCAAAAAGACGTCTATTCAGTTAAGTCGTCGTGAGGAGAGAATAAATACTAATGGTTGGTACCGGACGGTGTATATACCCCTCTGGGGGCGGAGTCTTTAAGGCCCATCCAGGTGGGGTTGTACCAGCATAGGGTCTCTCTTCACCTATTCATTCATTTACAGTGTTATTTGGAATCACACTCTTGTTTTTATTGTTTTTTGCCATCCAAGTGGGGTTCAATCACAGTTTTCTTGACGAAACCCATTGTACATAGACAATTTTTCTTATGGGAAAAATATTTAAGACAGAGGACCCAAACGCACCGAGTCGATGTGTGCGGGGAGTTTCCCACCACACAATACGCTAATCTTCACCATCTTCCCATCTGACTATGTGTAATGGAAACCTTGGTTGAGAAGGCACATAGTATAGATATATGTCATAACCTCCAGAGAAGTGTTCATTTGAAGAGATGGAAGATGTCACGATATACAAATCAAACAAATGTAGAATTAGAAAGATATTCATAAAGTTTAATCTCGTAGCGTCATCTTCGAAATGGACCAACTCGATTGCAGAGTTTAACTGCTGGTTGCAAGTTGAGAGATGGTTCTTCTTCAAGTCGGATATTGGTCAAATTTTGAAAGAAATTTGAAACTGGGGAGGCGCCATAGCCACGGATATTCGGTATTCTGAAATTTCTAAAAATTCTGACCATTTTCGAAAAAAAATTCCGGTCGGAATATTTGCGAAAGGTTTATCCCGGAATGAAATTCTGATAGTTTGTATGCTTTTTTTTCGTATTTAGAAATTTTTGCACTACGATATGTCAAAAGTGCACCCAAAGAATGTGCTTGGAGGTCTAAAAAAATCACTATTGATATTTTTTGCTCTATCGAAATCTTTCAGTCAACTTTAACCAGTTTTGGCGTTTTTGTTATTTGAGAAATGGAATTCCTTCTTCAAAGTAAAAATCTCTTAAAATCCCGAAGGTCCGAGAATTTCAAAATCGGAATATTTAGAAATTCATAAATTTTGCATTTTTCAAAGTCGAAATATTTCATGATTCTTCAAAGTTAAAGAGATCCCCGATTCCAATGAAAAAATTCTTTCGAAACATCTCGCTGATATCATCGCAGTCTGACTTTCAAGTTGCTCATCTGAACTTTTTGGATTCTTCTAACGCGATGCACAAATTGATATTCAAAGGATAATGGAAAGATTTATTCGAATCAACTGGGGAAAAGTGAACGGTAGGGATGAAAATTAAATTTGTAAAAAAAAATTCGTCTTCTAATATTTGAGACTGCCTTGAGATGGTTGTTGTGTAGATAGGTCAGGGAGACCTGGAAAATTTAAAGATTACTGTAATTTTAATCGATCACTGTACTTAAACACCCTATTTTACTTTAACACCCGGAACAGTTTCCGACAGCAAAGCAGACTCACTAGATGTCCGCAAAAATTGTTCCAATACAAGAGAATGAGCAATTGGTGTGACAGAATTTGTTGTGATTGATATGGTATCTCCATTTCCGTTGTACCCGGACATTGACCGACCATCAGGATGATTGATGGTGAAATGGTCGCTGACACTACAAAATGTTGACTAGCTGTAGATTTCAAAGCACATTACTCTGCTTCATAAAAACTGGTTCCTGGGAATGCTCAGATGATCTAGCTTGCTATGGAACAGCTGGAGCAAGTTCATCAAACACTTTCAATGCTGTCACCGTTTCATCGTTTTCTCCTACTTCAGTGGATACCGATCTTGGGTTACCCGCAAAACAATAAATTTGCGTTGCTAGGAAATTCAGCTTGATTATCTCGCTCCCTGTGAATGATATCAAAAATCTGTTCCATAATAAAATATTGGTGATATTAAGACAAACATTTTACCTTTTAACACATTTTGTGTATCTCTTGACAAAACCGAGATAATTGAACTCAAAAAGGCTTGTTTGGCACCGCTGGTTACACCACCTCACCTCACCACCATACTTGCAAACCTTGTGCTCAATTATCTCGCTTCCTATAATAGATATTAGAAACTCAAAAAAAAGATAATTGAGCTTAAGCGTCACGAGATTCACGATTGAATATACTTCTGGAATCAGGAAGAATTCAAAAAAAATTCAAGAAAATACACGGAAATCTGTAGAAAACTAACAAAATGCCGGTAAAAATTCGATGCAACTTGATTTTTTCTATGCGAAATTTGGCTTCGTACGTTTGATCTACAGGCAAAAATCAGGAAAAACATTTTCATCCCCCCCTCCCTCCCTTCGTAAAATGGTGGGTGGAGGTGTATTCCAACGCCTATGCCAGGGGGGTTATATTGAAATGTTTCGGGGGGGGGGGGGGGGGGGGCAATATTGTAATCGCTACAGGATGAAGCTATTGAAATTTCTTCTTAGTTTAAACGTTATGAAATTTGTGGTGTAATTTTCCGCCTCGTCACGGCTGAACACTTTTCTGGAGATTATGGCACTTATGAGCCTTCCCAACCAAGGTCGTCATGACGTATTGTTAGATGGGAAGGTGAGAAAGAGCGCAATATGTGATGAACCAACGGTCCGTACAAATTGTGACACAGCAGGTGGCGAAGCGGAGATAGTGTGAACTTAGAAGAGGCTAAGAGAGGCAGGCAATGGGACGGTCGAGTCGACCCTTTGCGTTCGACGCACCTTCATTCTTCCCATAGACGACTTGACCGAATAGACGTCTCACCTTTTTTGGGAGTTTTCCAAAAAATCCTCTGAATGAATGGATTTTGGAGCTCCTTTTTGATTTTACTGAATATTCGTTGATCCTATACTATTCTATTCACATCTTCACGGGGGTTTTGATAATGGTAAGGTTTTTTTTTCTTTTTGAAATAATTTTGTGTAATTTCTTTATTCGGAGCCTATTCTCTGTTTCCCCAAAACTGTTCTAAAATTACTGCGCATCAAATTTTCTGAACTTCCTCTTCTTTGGGGTTTGTTTCTTTTTAAATTAAAAAAAAAGGTTTGCACGTACAGAGGACGGCAGAGAGACGCATAGGTTTCATGTTCTGGCGCAGGGGGGAGATAGACTATTTTAGAATGAGACAGTGAAACAGAATCGGAACCTCCTCAAGCACATCTAGCAGATCTACCTTTTTTGATGTAGAATCATTGCAATGGAAATGAGCTAACATGAGACTAATATGATCTCTAGACTATTCGTCATGTTTTTTTCTGTCATTTCCTACTGTTCAATAGTTTCTTATCTCTTTACCGTCCCGGCACGTCTAGTTCTCATGTCTCTCAACTACTTGTATTTGGGAGATAGACTGTGGGAGTGGCCAGGGTACTGAGGTGATGGCTTGGAAAATCAGAAAGTTCGAGTAACAGTTCTAACACTATGCGTCTCCGATTTTTACTGCCAGAAAACTCGATGATACTAATTTTTTGTTACAGTATCCAGCTCCCAAAGACGGCCGCCACTTTCTGGAGCTCTTCGCCTTGTTTGGAAGAATGAAGGTCAGTTTGGAAGAATTGTATTGGAAATATTAGAAAAAAAAAAAAAAAAGTTTTGATTTCTTTCTATCTAAGTGCTTAATTGAGATTAATTGCAAAGTTTGCAACATAGCATAGCAAGATTTTTGTGAAACTATTTGAAACTATACATGATTTAACTGTTCTTGCTTCTTTTCCTTCCAGGACCCTCTTTTTTCGCTGAGTATATGAGGTCCTAAAATATGAAAATTTACTTGACAGTGGCCCCATCTATTACTTTTCCCTAGATATCAGCTAATTCCTGGCCCTTGTCTCTTTTAATGGCCCTTGTCTCTTTTAAAGCCTGGTAAATGTAAATTTAGGATTATAAAAGTAGGATAGCTATCCGGGAAGATTAATCAATAGGTAATGAGCCAAAAAGAAGAAAAGTGAAGAAACACACTAGACTAAAAGATATAAAATCTTAAATTGAACGAAATTCAAGCTGAAGCCATAAAATTATCATCTATATTTTTTTTCAGCAACAAAGCAGCTCGGACCGAGAAGCTGGCCACGGCCGCAAGCCACCGAGAAGCAAATGAGAGGTGAATTTCTATTAAGTTATATTTGGGGAAACTTTGAAAATGCATAATTCAAACGTGGACTACCTTTTTTCCTCCTATTTAATTTTTCAATATTTTCAGAAATCGGCCAAGTGAAGAAGCGTTCCATGGAAGCGAAGAGAAAGCTCGAAGCGATGGAACAAGAGAAAAGGAGGATGAAGGGACAGAAGGAGAGGAGACGCGAGGATAGACGGAAGATTGTGAAGGACGAAGAAGAGACAGCATGGATGCAACAATCGCTCCAGGGGCTCCAGGAGAAGCGGTTCCTCCTACATAGTCTTCTTATTCAAGAACTTGGCGATCTTCCGGTGAAGCGACTGCCATTGAAAGCTGAAGTTGAAGAGGGTGGGGCTGTCCAAAATCAAGCCGAAGGGAATCTTGACGAAACCGTGGATGGAGCTGATAGCCTCATAGAGGAAGCCGCTGAAGATGAAGCCGAAGAGAAGAAGATGAAGATAAAGATCCATGCCAACCTTTCGAGAGTTTTGGGTACATTTTTTTGTATGTTTGTTTTACCCGTTTTTAGTACATAAAAATGAAAAAATTATGAAATTTTTTTTCTCAAAACACAAAGTGTTGTATGCATTGTGTAGTGCAATTAAAGACACACATTCTCTTCAAATTTGAACAAACTGGAATCATTTTGAGCCGAGTTATAGCCAAACTCCTGAACCATACCTTTTATGCTCAAGTGAGATATATTAGGTTGTTCGGAAAGTCCTTTCCATTTTTGATCTGTTGTTTTCAAACTTTGTTTTTTTGAACGGGGTAAAACTTTTTTCCCCCGGGTGGGCACCTGTTTGAATCTTCTCATCCTGCGTTGCACACATGAATGTTGGAATCAAACCATTGCTATTGGTGATAAATGGGTAATGTGTGATTACAATAAGCAACCTGCCAAGTGGGTTGACAAAGGCACTCAACCACCAGATGTCTCGAAACGTGAAGTTCGTGTTAAAAATGGGATGTTGTCGGTATGGTGGTCTACCAAAGAATGGAGTATTAGGAGCTGCCTGATAATAGTGTTACTTTTACGACCCATACCTATTCTTGTCAGGTGACATAACTCAGACTTTATGTGGATCTCGATTGGAGAGGAACGCAAAGGTTTATTTTGAAAATTAAAATTCGCAACCTCATGCGGGAAGGAAGACCCAGGCCGATCTCGGTGGATATGTCTAGACGATTCAGCCTTATTCACTGTATAGCTCTAACCTTCTACTTTTTGATTATTACCCATCCAGCCACTTCTAACGTCATCTTGATTGACGAAAATTTACTTCAAAACAACGTATCAAAAATGGGTTGACTTGATTTTGAACTCGCTGTGACCGGAGTTCTGGAAGGAAGGCGTCCAAAATTTCGTGGTGCATTGGCAGATAGTCATTGATAACGATGGTCATTACATCCAATTTATCCCACATCGTTTTGACCTATTTTACTTTGAATGTATCTGACGCTAAAAATGGAAAGGACTTTCCGAACAACCTAATACATACCGTAAACACTCTAATAGAACGCCACACAAACTGTCAACTTCAAGCCCATGTATCTCATTTTCTATGAGAGGTACCAGAAAGTGGTCAACTGATTAAAAAAACAAAGTAAAGTCAAAATGGTGTTGAAACTATCACTAACAGATTTGATTTCGGAAGCACGGAATTGCACGGAATTTCGCGGAACTTTGGTCCTAGAACTTTCTTGTCGATATAGTTCTGACACGCTTTGACGGTCGCTTCGTCATCCATGATGGATGCCTTGAGCACCAAGATATGACACTGGTCGAGAAGATTTGCTCCATGTTTTCGGAGAAGTACTTGCTTGTGGCAGGTACCATGAAGTACGACAGGAACGGTCCCTTCTCAACATGGGTATCTCTTTGTTAAGCGGCAACCAATCCTTCGTCAAAGCATTTCCGATATAACAAAGAGCGGGTTCGTGTCCTTTTTGTAAAAATCCGCTTGGATGTTCTCCTTGGTTTTGGAATCCAAATGTTCGTCGAGGATGATAGCCAATGCATCCGATTGTTGCTTCTTCGAGAATCGAGCAAAGATTTTGCAAACTCGCGACCATATGTTGTTTGGACCAAATGCATCATCTTGCGTGGGAATCGACAAACATCAGCTTTTGCAGACTGTCCAACTCCCAGCTCGACACACGAATCCCAAATACCAGCGAAGTCATCCGACGTTTCATAAATGACAGCCTCGAAATCGAAATCCTGAAGAATAATTGTTGAAAAAAAGTTGAACAGTGCAGCCGATCGCCGATCGGCTAGAAATGTTAGCTAGAAAAACCTAACAAATCCAGATAGGCTGGAGAGGCACACTACGCTTTTTACTCACTTCTTGATCAGGTTCTTCCAATCTTGAAATAAGGGACAAGACCCGATGGGTTCCCTCCAACACTACCATCTGTTGGAGGTTTTCTTTGAATGCAACCACAAAAATCGGCGAGTGCGTCTTTGTCTGGTGCAACATATTGCGCGCGGAGACACTAGCGACTGAGTCGAAAATGTTTTGATCGAATCCACGAAGCACGAATCCCCGCATTTCCGCCTTGCGAATATCAGATGGTTTGATGGTCACTGTAGTTGCCTGAAAAAGAAAAACTGGAATATATGACTAAACCTCAGTTTTATGTACCTTGTATTGATCTTGACCGTCGATTCCTACTTTCACTTGGTCAACTCCCGAATCATCATGGTATTTACGTTTCTTAGACGATGAGTACTCATCCTTTTCATGCGAAGAATGACGTTGTCGTTTTTTTGGCGTATTGTCAGGAGACATGAACAAACCAAGTTCTTTGAGAACGTCGTCGGGGGCTGTAGAGCTCTTCTTAGGAGAGGATTAAGGCGATGGCGTGCAGGAGGAGAGGTTGGAGAACGAAGAGTCAGACATTATCTCAAAAACAATGATGTTAAGAAATATATAAATATACTGAGAACAAAAACAGTAAGGCAGCCGATCGCCGATCGGCTGACACATCCGAACAGCACTAGCCGATCGCCGATCGGCTGACACATCCGAACAGCACTGGCCGATCGCCGATCGGCTGACACATCCAAACCACACTAGCCGATCGCCGATCGGCTGACACATCCGAACCACACTAGCCGATCGCCGATCGGCTGACACATCCGAACCACACTAGCCGATCGCCGATCGGCTGACACATCCGAACCACACTAGCCGATCGCCGATCGGCTGACACATCCGAACAGCACTAGCCGATCGCCGATCGGCTGACACATCCGAACCACACTAGCCGATCGCCGATCGGCTGACACATCCGAACAGCACTAGCCGATCGCCGATCGGCTGACACATCCGAACCACACTAGCCGATCGCCGATCGGCTGACACATCCGAACCACACTAGCCGATCGCCGATCGGCTGACACATCCGAACCACACTAGCCGATCGCCGATCGGCTGACACATCCGAACAGCACTAGCCGATCGCCGATCGGCTGACACATCCGAACCACACTAGCCGATCGCCGATCGGCTGACACATCCGAACCACACTAGCCGATCGCCGATCGGCTGACACATCCGAACAGCACTAGCCGATCGCCGATCGGCTGACACATCCGAACAGCACTAGCCGATCGCCGATCGGCTGACACATCCGAACAGCACTAGCCGATCGCCGATCGGCTGACACATCCGAACAGCACTAGCCGATCGCCGATCGGCTGACACATCCGAACCACACTAGCCGATCACCGATCGGCTGACACATCCGAACCACACTAGCCGATCGCCGATCGGCTGACACATCCGAACAGCACTAGCCGATCAAAACAATGAAAACTAGACAAAACACTATTCAATTCTAACAATACCATCTTATTCTCAAAATACCCCTATTTTCTCAAAACACCATCATAATCATACAGAGCCAAAATTTGAAAGTGGTGAGGCGCCATGGGCGGGGATATTTATGACGGAGTTCGGCATTCGGAGTTCTAAAAATTCAAAAAGTTCCTACAGGATTATTTCAGAGAAAAAATTCGGAATATTTTTGGAATGAAATTCCGACCGAAATGTTTTGTAAGCTTTTTTTCGGATTTAGAAATTTTTCCTTTACGGTATGTCGAAGCGCACCCAAAGAATCTGCATGGAGGTATCGAACGGATTTACTTTTGATATTTTTTATCGATGTCGAAATCTTTCAGTGAACTTTTAAAAGTTAAAACTCGTTTTTGGCGTTTTTGTGATTGGAGAAGTGGAATTCATAATTCAAAGTAAAACTTTTAGAAATCCCAACATTCCAAAAATGTTAAAATTGATATATTTCGAAATTCCAAAATTTCGACTATTTCAAAATCGGAATGTTTCATGCTTTTTTGATGTTAAAAACCAATCTACACGAAATCACCACAAAAGTCATTGGCATCAGCAACATCAGAACCTTCAGGAATTTATCGTGAATGTCTTCTGACTGAAGAATTCAAAGAAAGCGAAACTCGGAAAATTCATATCTGCACCTTCTGCTGTTTCTTGTAACACTAGAACAAGGCATGTGGATGTTTCAGTTGAGAAATATGTGAACCTGCCAAAACATGGAAAAAAACCAAAAAATCAAAACGTTTCCCCGATATCATTCCAGTCTAAATTTCAAATTGCTCAACTTGACCGTTCTACTTATTTGTATTCAGAGTATTTAAAAATTCAATAAACTAAACATTTCAACAAGTTGGTTTTCCATGATGCCCTTTTATCTTGCACTCCTTTTATTGGGTCCTTTTTTCCTCATCCTCCCCTTTCCACTCTTGCCATAAAGAGCCTAATTTTCCATGTCTGGAGATTATGACATAATGAGCCTTCCCAACCAAGTACATCATGACACAATGTCAAATGCGATGGTAGAAAAGATTAGCGTGTTTACTGGTAACGAGAAAAAAAAAGTCAAAGTTAGCGTTGGTGACAACTTTGACCTAATTTATCTCGTTTCCTGTGAAAGATATCAAAAAGTTATAAACTGATAAAATATTAAACTTTTTATGATAAAAACTTCAATAGTTGATAAAATTTCGATATCTTTTAAAAGAACATAGATAAATCAAGTCAAAAAAGGGCTTTCGATTAAACGATAAAAAATCTTTTGTCAGAGCTATTTTTTCTATGTTTTTGTCTATTTTTTTGGTTGTCACTACTATTAATATATATAGTTGTATATGTATAATAATACATAGGAGGAAGGGAGAGGAAATATTTTCAGAAAAGAAAGGAAAACAAAAACAAAAAACTCTTGGCACAGTTTTTGTCTTTTTTTGTTGGTTGGAGGCGAAAATG